CTGGCTGACTAAATATTCCACGCTCAGCTGTTAGTGGGATTATAACAAAGTGGAAGCAACTGGGAACAACAGCCACTCAGCCACCAAGTGGTAGGCCACGTCACATGACAGGGCGGGGGTCAGCGCATGCTGAAGCGCACAGTGCGCAGAAGTCGCCAACTGTCTGCAGAGTCAATAGCTAAAGACCTCCAAACTTGGTGTGGCCTTCAGATGAGCCCAACATCACAGTGTGTAGAGAGCTTCATGGAATGGGTTTCCATGGCCGAGCAGCTGCATCCAAGCCTTCCATCACCAAGTGTAATGCAAAGCGTCGGATGCCGTGGTGTAAAGCACGCCGCCACTGGACTCTAGAGCAGAGGAGACGTGTTCTCTGGAGTGTCCAATCACACTTCTTTGTGGCAATCTGATGGACATGTCTGGGTTTGGCAGGTGCCAGAATGGTAATTGATGGACTGCATTGTGCCAAGTGTAAAGTTTGGTGGAGGGGGGATTATGGTGTGGGGTTGTTTTTTCAGGGGTTGGGCTTGGCCCCCTAGTTCCAGTGAAGGGAACTCTTAAGGCAACATTTTGGACAATTTCATGCTCCCAACTTTGTGGGAAGAGTTTGGGGATGGTCCCTTCCTGTTCCAACATGACTGCCCACCAGTGCACAAAGCAAGGTCCATAAAGACATGGAGGAGCCAGTTTGGGGTGGAGGAACTTGACTGGCCTGCACAGAGTCCTGACCTCAACCCCATAGAACACCTTTGGGATGAATTAGAGCGGAGACTGCGAGCCAGGCCTCCTCCCCCGACATCAGTGCCTGACCTGACAAATGTGCTTCTGGAAGAATGGTCCAACCTTCCCATAGACACCCTCCTAAACCTTGTGGACAGCCTTCCCAGAAGAGTTGAAGCTGTTATAGCTGCAAAGGGCGGGGCCAACTCAATATTGAACCCTACGGACTAAGACTGGGAAGCCATTAAAGGTCATGTGTGTGGAAAGGGCGGGGCCAACTCAATATTGAGTCTACGGACTAAGACTGGGAGGACATTAAAGGTCATGTGTGTGGAAAGGGCAGGGCCAACTCAATATTGAACCCTACGGACTAAGACTGGGGGCCAATAAAGGTCATGTGCGTGGAGAGGGGCGGGGCCAACTCAATATTGAACCCTCCGAACTAAGACTGGGAGGCCATTAAAGGTCATGTGTGTGGAAAGGGCGGGGCAAACTCAATATTGAACCCTCCGCACTAAGACTGGGAGGCCATTAGAGGACATGTGTGTGGAAAGGCCGGTGGCCCAATACTTTGGGCAATGTAGTATATATGAAGGTGCAATGCTGTAAGTGAATAAAAACAAGAACACATAATTCTAATTTAAAAACAGAAGTTTTATTGTTCACATAAAATAAAAAAATATTATAAACAAGGATTAAATCTACAGTCTATTCTCTGAAGGAGTAGACATACAAGTTGGTAATGTATATTGCACTCCTTACACCAGCTAACATACAGCGATAGAGCCTGGGTACAGAGAGAAGAATCCAAATCTCTGTTACAAAAAATCAAACCTCCTGATGAAAATAAACACTTGAAGTTTACCTGCCCACCTTGGAGTGTTTCCCATCCTCGTGCTGCCTCCGACATAACTTAAAAATCTATCAGGGATGGTGGAAGTCCTGCAGAGCCAAGAACTCAGGAGCGGAGGTATGGTTAGGTGGCCCAACTCCATACTTCAAAACACTGAAATCACTTTAGTTGGGGTAGCTCCTTGTTCGTCCTTGATTTATTGTGACTAGTGATCACATGACAGCAGAACCCATTTCAGGCGCACATTACATATCCTTTGGTGTGAAGTTCATCCTCATTCTGGGTGGTATTGGCCAGCTTCTCAGTTGTCGGGGAATACAGTCTGCTTTCCAGGGGGTCTCTCTTTAGGGGTTGGATGTAGGTTCCTCAGTCGTTGGGGATCATTGCTTGATTTTAAGGTGGTCTCCCCAGAGGGTTGAATTCCCCAGTTGTTGGGGATCACTGCTTGCTTTTAAAAGATGGCCTCCCCAGAGGGTTGGGTTCCCCAGTTGTGGGGGATCACTGCTTTCTTTCAAGGTGGTCTCCCAGGAGGTTTGAGTTCCCCAGTTGTTGGGGATCACTGCTTGCTTTTAAGGTGGCCTTCCCGGAGGGTTGAGTTCCCCAGTTGTGGGGATCACTGCTTGCTTTTTAAAGGTGGCCTCCCCGGAGGGTTGGGTTCCCCAGTTGTTGGAGATCAGTGCTTGCTTTAAAGGTGGCCTCCCTGGAGGGTTGGGTTCCCCAGTCGTTGGGGATCACTGCTCGCTTTCAAGGTGGCCTCCCTGGAGAGTTGGGTTCCTCAGTTGTTGGGGATCACTGCTTGCTTTTAAGGTGGCCTCCCCGGAGGGTTGGGTTTCTCAGTTGTTGGGGATCACTGCTCGCTTTCAAGGTGGCCTCCCTGGAGGGTTGGGTTCCTCAGACATTGGGGATCACTGCTTGCTTTCAAGGTGGCCTCCCCGGAGAACTGAGTTCCCCAGTTGTTGGGGATCACTGCTTGCTTTTAAGGTGGCCTCCCAGGAGGGTTGAGTTCCCCAGTTGTTGGGGATCACTGCTTGCTTTTAAGGTGGCCTCCCAGGAGGGTTGAGTTCCCCAGTTGTTGGGGATCACTGCTTGCTTTTAACGTAGCCTCCCTGGAGGGTTGAGTTCCTCAGTTGTTGGGGATCACTGTTTGCTCTCCAGGCGGGGTCGGTTGCAGGTTCCTCTGTCCACTCTGCAGGCAATATCCCTGGTTGTATGTGGGGTCTTCTTTGGGCCCTGGAATATTTTCAGTGACATCAATTACAAGGGAGGGGGGTTTGTGATCAGTTCTGGGATAGAAAGCAGGATGTAGGTTGACCATGGTCAGTGTTTTTTAGGAATGGTATGTGAATTGTTGGCAATATTCAGTCTGGGAGAAGAATGGGAAGGGATTGGGAGTAGTCAGTGGATCATTTTTAGACTATCTACGTAACGTGAAAGATTTTCATCCTATCCACCCTATCCTTCCCCAAAGAAAGCTAGAGGATGCCATGGTTTTTGGTGTCTTCCTCATCTTTTATGGCCTCTGTTATGGGACACTCAAAAAGGATATTACCAAGATGTGTACTGATTATACGGTGTCCATAACCTTCAAAGTATGGAAGGGTATCACCTATGATGTAGTTTACCAACTTCTAGTGATTTCAGAGATGGTGCTTCATACATCCAGACTAAGTGGTGGGGAGGGGAGCATGGGGTACAACCGCCATTCCAAAAAAGTAGGGGGGCGTGGTGTAAAAATCAACATAAAAACAGAATGCAGCGATTTGCAAATCTCACAAAGCCAGATTTTATTCGCAACAGAAAAAGAAAACATTGTGTGTTTAAACTGAGAAAATGGACCATTTTTTAAAGAAAAAAAAAAAAAAAACAGGTCATTTTGAAACGGATGGCATCAACATGTCTCAGAAAAGTTGGACAGCTGGCAAAGTAAATGGTACTAAGAAGGAAAAGCTGGAAGAACATTTTGCAACTAATTAGGATCATTGGCAACAGGTTAGCATCATGAGTGGGTATAAAAAGAGCATATTAGAGAGTCAGAGTGTGTCTCAAAAGTAAAAATGGGCAGAGGTTCACCAATCTGTGAAAAGCTGCATCTAAAAACAATTTTGTTCCTCGGCGTAACATTCAGAGACTTTAAACCTCTTCCCAGCCGCCCTGGACCTGATGGCTATTCAGCAAAAACTCACATTTTGTCAAACATTTAGGCCAAAATGTATTCTGCTCCATGTCTTTGCTACCAAAAAACTCTTCCAATACGTGTAAATTAATTGGTTTACGTGAAAGTTATAGCGTCTACAAATGGCGGGAGAGATACTGGGATTTTTTTTCTTTGTATACTAGTAATGGCGGCGATCAGCGACTTATAGCTGAACTGCTGCGGCGGGCATTCTGACGCTGGGAGGGAAGCACTGACACTGTACTAATGACACTGGCCAGGAAGGGGCGATCAAAGGGTTAACAGTGTGCGATTTACTGTGTGTGCGGTTTTACCTTGAAGACATGCTGTGCAGAGAAATACAAAGCAGCATGTACTTGCTGGCAGCAGACAGATCTGTGTTGTTTACACACAGGTCTCTCCCCTCTCAGCTTTGCATGGCAATTGTCAGGTGCCGGCGGGGAATCTCAGACCGGGACCCAGTGATTGACATGCCTAGCCGCCAATGGCACTCCCTACCCGTCCTCATATCAATAACATAGTACAGAAGTGTTCTATAGTCCTAAAAGTCTTCCTCTCCAAGAGTGACAACGCTGCTCCATCACAATACAACACAGTGAGTGAGCGCTGCCACCCAAGGACAGGAAATGTCTTACTGGCAGGATCAACCAGAAAAAAAAAAAAAAAAAAAGAGTGCAGCCACATCTGAGGACAGATGAGCTACATCTATGTTACAGTTTTGTTCTTACTTTTGGGTGTAAGATGTTTTAATTAAGAAAAAATACAATTGAATAAACCCTGATAGAGTCTCCTGATTTTTCTGGGCACTCACAGTTTGATGATTTTGATGATGATGTGGAGATCCTGCAGCTGAGACAGGTGATCTCTGGGTCATCCACCATCATATTGTTGGCCTATGGAAGAGACACACATGGAGTTAGAACACTGTAGACAACACTTTCTCTACCAGGATCCCTCCAGAAGGGGCTCAGATACGTAACCTCTGATGCCAGCGAGCGTATTAACTATTTATAAAAGGAGAATTCTTCTCACTGACCCCCAATGTAAGGGACATTCTTCCCACTGACCCCAATGTAAGGAGCATTCTTCCCCACTGATCACCAATGTAAGGGACATTTCTTCCCACTGACCCCAATGTAAGGGACATTCTTCCCACTGACCACCAATGTAAGGGACATTCTTCCCACTGACCCCCAATGTAAGGGACATTCTTTCCACTGACCACCAATGTAAGGGACATTCTTCCCACTGATCACCAATGTAAGGGACATTCTTCCCACTGACCACCAATGTAAGGGACATTCTTCCCACTGACCCCCAATGTAAGGGACATTCTTCTCACTGATCACCCAATGTAAGGGACATTCTTCCACTGATCACCAATGTAAGGAGCATTCTTCCCACTGATCACCAATGTAAGGGACATTCTTCCCACTGACCACCAATGTAAGGGACATTCTTCCCACTGACCACCAATGTAAGGGACATTCTTCCCACTGACCCCCCATGCAAGGGACATTTCCCACTGACCCCCAATGCAAGGGACATGCTTCCCCAATGATCACCAATGTAAGGACATTCTTCCCACTGACCACATGTAAGGGACATTCTTCCCACTGACCCCCAATGTAAAGGGACATTCTTCTCACTGATCACCAATGTAAGGGACCATTCTTCCCACTGACCCCCCAATGTAAGGGACATTCTTCCCACAGACCACCAATGTAAGGGACAAACCCACTGACCACCAATCTGTAAGGGACAGATCTACCACTGACCACCATGTAAGGGACATTCTTCCCTCTGACCCCCAATGTAAGGGACATTCTTCCCACTGACCCCAATGTAAGGGACATTTCTTCCTGAGACTGACCCCCAATGTAAGGGGCATTCTTCCCACTGACCCCCAATGTAAGGGGCATTCTTCCCACTGACCCCCAATGTAAGGGGCATTTCCTTCCCACTGACCCCCAATGTAAGGGACTTACTTCCCACTGACCCCCAATGTAAGGGAATTCTTCCCACTGACCCCCAATGTAAGGAGACATTCTTCCCACTGACCCCCAATGTAAGGAGCATTCTTCCCACCGACCCCCAATGTAAGGGACATTCTTCCCACCGACCCCCAATGTAAGGAGCATTCTTCCCACTGACCCCCAATGTAAGGGACATTCTTCCCACTGACCTCCAATGTAAGGAGCATTCTTCCCCCTGACCACCAATGTAAGGGACATTCTTCCCACTGACCCCAATGCAAGGGACATTCTTCCCACTGACCACCAATGTAAGGGACATTCTTCCCACTGACCCCCAATGTAAGGGACATTCTTCTCACTGACCCCCAATGTAAGGGACATTCTTCTCACTGACCCCCAATGTAAGGGATATTCTTCCCACTAACTTGTTCTGTACATTTACGTTGTTTCACTGGTCATTCAAGCATCTTCCTCAGCTCTAATGAGTGTCAGGAAGATACCCCAGGTATTTAGATCCCCATGGGTAACTCCTTCACCTTCATCTAATCACCATGGAATGTGGTGAAAGTTGGAGAAACAACTGCATACCAATGAAGTCAGACAATGCCATGGTGTTAGTGGTGTAGAATTTTCCAATGACATGGCTAAACGTGTAAACTGGTATCACATCCCCAGGACAGATCTCATAAACCAGTATTTGAGAGGGTTGTAAAAGATACACGGTTTTTTTTTACCTTCATACATTCTATACATGAAGGTATATCCTCTCTTCCCGGACCCCGCATTCACTATATCCCCCGGACTCTATATCCCTCGGGACCCCGCATTCACTATATCCGGTCTCGCTCTCCCCTCTCCCCCCGGACCCCGCATTCACTATATCCGCGCTCTCCCCCCCGGACCCCGCATTCACTATATCCGCTCTCTCCCCGGACCCCGCATTCACTATATCCGCTCTCCCCGGACCCCGCATTCACTATATCCGCTCTCCCCCCCGGACCCCGCATTCACTATATCCGCTCTCCGCCCCCGGACCCCGCATTCACTATATCCGCTCTCCCCGGACCCCGCATTCACTATATCCGCTCTCCCCGGACCCCGCATTCACTATATCCGCTCTCCCCGGACCCCGCATTCACTATATCTGCTCTCCCCGGACCCCGCATTCCTATATCCTCTCTCCCGGACCCCGCATTCCCTATATCCTCTCCCCGGACCCCCGCATTCCCTATATCCTCTCCCCGGACCCCGCATTCCCTATATCCTCTCCCCCGGACCCCCGCATTCCCTATATCCTCTCCCCGGACCCTGCATTCACTATATCCCACCACCCCACCATGCTTGACTGTAGTCAACACTTTGTACTCCTCACCTGGTTGCTGCCACACACGCTTGACACCATCTGAACCCAATCAGTTGATGTTGGTGTCATCAGACCACAGGAGACGGTTCTAGTACTCCATGTCCTTAGTCTGCTTGTCTTCAGCAAACTGTTTGCGGCTTTCTTGTCCATCACCTTTAGAAGAGGCTTCCTTCTGGGATGACAGCCATGCAGACCAATTTGATGCGGCGTATGGTCTGAGCTCTGACAGGCTGACCCCCCCCCACACACACACACACCCTCAGCAGCAATGCTGGCAGCACTCATACGTCTATTTCCCAAAGACAACCTCTGGATATGACGCTGAGCTCGTGCACTCAACTACTTTGGTGGACCATGGCGAGGCCTGTTCTGAGTGGAACCTGTCCTGTTACACCGCTGTATGGTCTTGGCCACCTTCCTGCAGCTCAGTTTCAGGGTCTGGGCAATCTTCTTATAGCCTCGGCCATCTTTATGTAGAGCAGCAATTCTTTTTTTCAGATCCTCAGAGAGTTCTTTGCCATGAGGTGCCATACTGAACTTCCAGTGACCAGTATGAGAGAGTGAGAGCGATAACACCAAATGTAACCCACCAGCTCCCCATTCACACACCTGAAACCTTGTAACACCAACGAGTCACATGACACCTGGGAGGGAAAATGGCTGATTGGGCCCAATTTGGACCTTGTCACTTAGGGGTGGAGTCACTTTTGTTGCCAGCGGTTTAGACATTAATGGGGAGTGTTGAGTTATTTTGAGGGGACAGCAAATTTCCATGTTATACAAGCTGTACACTGACTACGCCACATTGTAGCAAAGTGTCATCTCTTCAGTGTTGTCAATTATTCTGCAGATTGCGCACTTACCTGTGGATTACATATCACTTGTGCACCCAGCTGGAAAACTTTCGGTCACTTCCCGTCTACCTTAGGGACACAATGACTTTTTGTTTTGTTTTGCATGGAGTACGGAAGTATGAATCTCTCTTTCAGTTTATTGTTTGTTCTCCACGTTTCATTGAGGAGATCTCCCTGCACTTCCCATCCTGGAAACACAACAGGAAGTAACAAGAAATCTTAAAAAATTTGAAGGAAAAAGCAGGATTTGTTTTTACTTACCGTGAAGTCCTTTTCTTGGGGTTAACAGGGAGACAGAATGAGATATTCAGAGACAACCAGATTACTCCGCTCCATACATAAGCACTGAGCACTAGTAAAACAAAACAAAAAAACAAAAAAGTGTCAGTCAGGAAAAACAACCCCTCCCACTCCCAGCATGCCCCTAGTTTTATGATAAAGCAACAGAAGATTGGATAATAATTCACCACTTCAAGTCCGGAACCCCCTTCCCCCCCAGGCCAATTTTCAGCTATCAGCGCTGTCACAATTTGAATGACAATTGCGCGGGTCGTGCAACACTGCACCCAAATAAAATTTTTTAGCATTATTTTCAGGTAAAACTTTCTTTTGGTGGTTTTTATTCACCACTGGGATTTTTAATTTTTTTTGGTATATAAATGAAAAAAAAAAAAAAAAAAAAAAAAAAAGACCAAATATTTTGACAAAAACAAAAAATGTTTTTCTTATAAAATTTTGCAAACAAATAATCTTTCTTCATAAAGCTTAGCCAAAATGTATTCGGCTAACTTTTTGGTTAAAAAAAATGTAAAAATCAAATATATAACCCAAAATCCGTTTATAAAAAATTATAATTTAAAAAAAATATTTTTTTTTACATTTTGATTTTTTTTTTATATTATTATTAATAATAATGTATATTTTTTTACATACTGTCACTGTAGCAGTACAGTGTAACCATGGTGACCCTGTACTACTTGTGGGAGGTGTTGAAGATCTTTTTTTTTTTTTTTACACCCATAAAGGCTTTAAAAGCAATAAATTTCTCCTTCTCTCTGGCTGTATTCTTGCAGGCATTGAGAAATACTGAGAGAGCTGCGATTGGTCACAGCTTGTCACATGGTACAAGTCTGTTGTGAATGGCCCTATACCATGTGATCCCTGTGATCATTCACTGAATTCACAAGTAGTAAGCAATGTCAGGAATTGACATCTTGTTTGCTACTGTTCATGTGATCACTGATTGACCAATCACCAACCTCACACAGCAGTCCCGTACATCGATCTGTGTTGCTCTGTGTCCAGTGAACATAGCGGGCACAGATCGTGGCGCTGTGCGCTGCCAGGAAGCACGCACAGGCAATGGATGCAGGGGGGATGTTTAGAAAACTCCCCCCCCCCCACATTGGCAACGCTTCTGTCTGGCGGCTTATCGGAATGGGTCGGACGGGAAGAGGTTAAGAGGGGAGGGGCCTATGCCCCATAATGAACTCTATGAAAAGTTAAAGGAGAACTCTGGCCAAAGCTTTTTTAGCCATACTTCAATTCTGGATCTCAGGAGTGCACTTACTTGTGCTTTCCTGTGACCCAGAATCAGCAGACACCAGGCTAAGGTCCGCTGTCAGCTGACATCACAGAAGCACTCCGGGCTCTGGAAGGAGGATGACAATAATGTCGGGATCCACCCAGATGCCTGACTGGCAGCAGGCTCAGCCTCTCAGCGCACCAGAGAACCTGAATCAGCCACTCCCACCCTCCTCCACAGCCTGTCAGTCACAGCTCTCTGCTCAGAGTAGACCGAGAACTGAGCGATCAGTGGTCATGTGATCGCTCCATTCTCAGGCTTAGTGTTGGTGGGGGATGGCTGCAGCAGGGAAGTGATTTTTTTTTTTTACTATTCCCACACTTCTCCTTTAAAAATCCTATTTTGTTAACCCTTCATTAGGGACAGAGGATCAGATCTTTAGAAACAACTAAGACATCCAAAAGTAGTTCACCCAATGGGAGGTCAGGAGCAAACAAAATACAAAAAGGCCCAGAGGAAAATTAACCCCTGGCCTACCGGGCACCCCCTTCCCGCTTAGGGCCAATTTCCAGCTTTCAGCACTGTTGCACTTTGAATGACAATTGCGCGGTCATGCAACACTGTACCCGTATGGAATTTGTATAATTTTTTTTTCACACAAATAGATCTTTTTTTTGGTGGTATTTACTTGCCGCTTGGGTTTGAAAGAAGTTGAAAAAAAAAAAATGTTTTTCTTTGTTTCCATTATAAAATTTTGCAAGCAGGTAATTTTTCTCCTTCACTGATGAGGCAGCACTGGTGGGCATTGATGAGGAGGCAATGACGATGCACTGACTGGTGGCAATGACTGATGGCAATGACTGGCGGCACTGCTGGGCACCGACGGGCGGCACTGAAAATCAGTGCAGTGCGGTTATCGCCAGTCCTTTCCTCACCCTGTGACCGCGCAACGAAAGTTCTGCCGATAACCGACAACTGTATTTACTTTGTGATCTGCTGTGTCATTGGACACGGCTGATCACGTGGTAAAAGGCCGCTGTGATTGGCCTATTACCTCAGCAAGCGATCACCGACGGCGCTGAGTGCGCACCACTTGGAGGTGCGTTCTGGGAGGATGTCCATAGACGCCCTCCCAGAACTGGACAACTGCTCTGTAGTATCCCTTCGGCTTCCCCGCCGCACGGGTATATACGCGATTTTGCATTTCCTGGTAGGGGATTCTCACGAGCCACATGCGCGCCCTACCAGCGCCGCAATTCGCGCCCCACGGATGTCAATCACTGTGTCCCGGCCGGTGATTGCCCACCAGCGCCCGGTGACTACCGACAATCATTGACGGTGAGGAGAACTGTTTTGTTTGCAAACAGTCCTCCTCCCTGTTAGCTCAAGCACACTGCACAGCCATCCCGATCAGTGTGCTTACAGTGAAGAACACAGACCCCGCCCCCTAGTAAAACACTCCCATCACACAGTTAACCCTTTGATCGCCCCTCACATTAACCGCTTCCTGCCCAGTGCCATTAGTACAATGTCACTGCTGTTTTTTTAGCACTGATCACTGTATTGGTGTCACTGACATCCCCAGTGACACCAAGTTAGTGCCCCCCCCCCCACCAGTGTCAGAATGCCCGCCGCAGTCCTGCTAAAAGCCGCTGATCGCTGCCATTACT